TTCTATGATTCACTGAAATTTAAAGCTAGATGACGCAGAGAAGAGAGGAACTATAGTCTCCCAAACACAAACCAAACTTTTTTCTTTAGGTTACATAAGGAGAGTAGTGTCCTCATTTGAGGAGCAGAAAAGAAACTTTCTGGATTCTCTACAAAAAGCAGCTGATTAGTTGGATGCATTGAATTCTTAACACTGCCTTTGATTTCCCCCTTCACTTCTCATACTTATTTTAGGTTTTAATCTTCTCAAGAAAGGACTGTTGGTTATAGTTGTACACTGTGCAGGTGAGGAAATTGAGGGTGTAAAGTTCTAGAGAAATGAAAAAATTAAAATGACATATCTATCTTCTTTCTCCTTAATGACCTAATTCTATACTTCTCTCATTTCTTCTCTAAGATTTCGATTTTTAGGATTTACTGATTTGTTCATTTGGTTATTTTAAGCCATTCCTCTGATCACTACACAGACATAAGCTGATGCTCAGATATTTTTAAAAGATCTTTAACTGACATGGGTATTTTTAATTATTTACGTCCCTAGTATCAATGCTCTTGATCAGTTTTATAAGAGAGGAGATTTAAGAAGATATGCACCTCTGTGCATTTTCCCAAATCTGTTTGACAGTATGCTTCTGTTCCAGTTGCATTAGGTACCATAGCAACTGCAAGGAGAGAAGCCGACTATCAAAGAACTATTTCAGGTAGGGAAGCAAATCTGTAGTTAGAAGCAAGAACAAACCTACGATCGTGATTTTTTTTTTCCACCCTACTACCTTGTCTATTCTGTATCTAATTCAAAAACTGCGATATTTCTGAAAAGCAGCAATTTGAATTGCAATTTTTTAATTTTTTTTTTCCCCTCAGGCACCAGTGACTGTTCTGTTACACTAGTGTTGTCTAGGGCTTCAATATAACTTAGCCCCTTACTTTTAAAATATACATATACACTACATACAGTCTATATAAGTAAAAAGGCATAAGTATTGGAGTTATTTAACTCCATTTAAAACAGACATATTTGATCTCATTTCCTTTGACCATCATGGGACTAAAAGCCCCTACTTCACATGTAGATACTACATATTGACCTCTAGAGTCTGAAAGAGTGAACTTGAATCTTCTGCCCAAAACACAGTAGTATTTTCTTTTCTCAAGGTTATGCAGGATATCCTCCATCGGATCAGCAGATATGACAGAGGACAAATAGGACCAGCATTTCTCTGCAGTGTTAGGTCTGGAAGACAGACAGGACACCCTATGACAGCTAAAACAGTTCTAGATAGATTCCTGTTGTGCAGCTGAATCAAGCCCTGAACCTCATCCCAATGATTTACTGGGATGAGTAGCCTTTTCCACTGGTAGGGTCACACTGCAATATGTCATTACACTTCTTTGTTCTTAGGCAGTTACCTCTTCTTCTCCTCATGATGCCCTTCTAACTTCTCACTTGGATCTTCCACAATCTTGGCTAGTTTGTATCACAGAAACACCGAGGGAGGAAGCAAAATTAAAGTTCTTTAAACCAAAGGGGTCATTAATCTGCCTCACAGTAAGGAATCAGTGCAGTGAGTGGGGGAAGGGCTATCTTTAAAACTTAAATTATAATAAATACCCCAAAAAAATGATCTTTAAAAGAAAACAGTAGGTTTATGATCACCAGGTGTAAAAGAAAGAAAGAAAAAAGCCAGTTTAATAAACCATAAAACATAAAATGGAAATATTAAATGAGCTACATCTTTCCCAAGAGGGTAATCACTACAAAATTTCCTTAAATATTAGTTTCTACCTAATAACACAATAAAGACCTTGAATAAAAGAAATTATAGATTTTAATCTTCTACTCCAAAGGAAACCCTTAAATTAGATGGCTATTTCAATTTATGTTTAAAACAACAAGAGTAAGTCATGAAGTATCAAGTCCCTCATGGGATTGATCAAAATTGAATTTGCAGTCTCCTGTACTATGCTGACAATCATTTACAATAAAATCAGAATGAGAAAGGGAAACTGTCTGTGGGAGAACTGAGCCAGGTAATAGCTTCAGTATAACAGTCACATAGCAGAAAACAAATTAAAATGCACACAGAATTTTAATACGGTTGAACTAGGCCTTACTTTGCTTATAGGATTTTTCCCTGCAGCTTTTAAGTAATAGATCAGGAATGAAAAACTAAATACTCATTGGTGATAATCAGGTATTTTACATTACCAACAATTTGTTTAAAATAATATGAGGTTAAAATTGTGTTAGGCAAAAGCAAGAAAACTGGCTTGCAAACTATTTTAGTTTAAAATTGTACAGACATAATGGAAGCACAAAGGAAAGGCATACTATAACTTCAAATTTCTGGTCCCACTGTGTACATCTACATGTCATATCATGGTCAGTCTTCGCGAACGAAGATTTGGGAAAGGTCTCTACCCACATTTGCTACAAGCGTGCTGGTGATACAGGGCTTTGCAAATGCGGGTAAGGCCTTCAAGCCTGCGCAATGGATTTTTTAGGTGAGACACAGTATGCGCTGAACTGAGCCCACCCTTTAATCCTAAGGTTCATCTGCCAGGGCCGAGCGAGCTTGGGCGGTGGCAGCGAGGTCCTCAGGACATAGGTTTATTTAGAGTGACCTTCTCTTAGATGGATTGAACGAGCTCCATCTGCCCGGGTTTAGAGTTGTCCTTCTCTTCTGTGTGTTCCGGGGCTCCCCCTCTCATCTCCCACAATGGCACTGTCCGCACAGGCGAAGCTCCCACTCTCTTGCTCCTTTCCGCGCCCGGGGCCGGGCCCGAGCACCCGGGGCCGGCCAGGCCCACGCCACCGCAAAACATCAACAAACATCTTAAATTATAACTACATTATCCCATCTTACAAAACACAAGGAGCTCATAAGTACAATATAAAGAGCTAGGACTTTTCAATTTTTTTTCATTATTTTTAGATACCTAACAATAAATAATTATATTTATACATACATAACACATTTTACACAAATAGGGAACAAAGACTTGGTATACTTCAGTAAAAAAATAACACATTCATTTGATTTGAAAGAAATCCTCTCAGCCACATAATAAGCCAGACTCTGCAGAACATCTATGCTATACTTTTCACAAGTTCATTTTAACAAGCAGTCAGCCTTTGGCTATCACGGTGGTAGCAGTGGAGGGGAATGTCCACTGGAATTTAGATATACCTCTTTTCATTCTTTTGAGAAGTTAGTAAATTATCTCCCATTCAGCACATAATTCCTTGCTTTAAAGGTCTGATGACCTTAGAGGATACATTGAAAAGGGAATCAAAATGGATGAGATTCGGACACTGGAAGCATATCCAGCACAGAGCTCATACACACCTTGAAAAATACTTGTTGTAAAGTGATTCAGGCCTGGCAAGTGAAACTATGCTAATGCAGACTATATTTATACATTATAAAAATAATTAAAAATACTCACTGGAGCAGCAACCTTCCTTTGTGCCAGACAAGTATCCTAACCACCAAACTACAGAGCTATTTTTCACTTTGCTTCTGTCCCAGCGAATATTAAGTAGCTGTATATGTGTGCCGTATAGATCAGAACAGCTGCAAGAGGGAAGTCTAAGAGTTACAGACTGCAAAATAAATAACCCAGGAAACAGCCAACACTCCTCAGTGAAATCTGCTGTATTTTTAGACGCTATCCAAAACCACAACATAAATGGCTACTGTACAAGTGCTGAACAGCTATGCAGCTGATCTACAGTAAATCTGTAACATGCTGTATTGTGACCTGCTATGCATGTGCACTTCAAATGCACTGAAATAGCGAATATAAAACGTTCTCTTCTGGAACTCAAGGTTGAGCAGATCTCTGTCATGGCACTCCTCTAGTCTGCACAGACCTAAGTTCAAGCCCTTAATGCAAGCTGAAATTCATAGATTTATTAAGAATTGACATTACCTGTGTCAATAGTTCTTTCAAGGACCAAAGTGTAGTTATCTGTGCCCGCTAATGATCTGTTTCATATTAGTAAAAGTTTGTTTCATTGCCCCTGTTACAATCACTATGTCACCTACTACAAGACACACATACCTTTGTGCTTCATTCAAGAACAGAAAGAAAAGTAGATATTCACTTCCTATTTTGCATGTAAGCATATTACCCCATTATAAGCAAAGGGGTGAACAATAGATTTCACAATATGTGCACATAATGTACTTGCACATTTGTACCTCTCTGCCAAGAGGGAAGCAGTTCTCTCCAAGCAGTAAGTCAGCTTTCATTTACTTCACGTTAAAAGTAATCACCTCCATGTAGCTGATAAGTTGGAAACTCAAATATTAGCTTACTGCTCAATAACCTATCCTTGTTCACAGACCTTACTCATGCCTTTGAGCTACCTCAAACAAGCTGGCCGTAAGGTTTCAGAGTACGGAATTTCTGAGGGCTGTTACTTTGGTGCATAGAATATACTCATTGGGGCACAGCTTCAGACTATTCAGTGCAGGTAGCTAAATATTTGAAATTTAGCTTTCATTGTAGTCAAGGGTGACATTGCACTCAGCTCAGTTGTTTAACCATAGCTTCTGGTGACATTTGACAAGACCTGAGGTGTTTAACAATAACTTTGGGGTTTTGCCTCCACAGGAGCAAAATTCTCCTCCCAGGTTTATGTGTACAGTACAGTTCTTTTTTGCATATTTCCTGGCTTAATTACCTCTTTACTATACTTCCATCTACTTCAAGTACAGGTGTAGTTATTTACAGGAAAAGTCAGTACTTAGACTGTTAAATTTTCTAATACTGTATTTTAATGTTTATTTTATTAATTCCAATTTGATGCAATTCTACTCTCTCTCACTTTTCCTTTTTGCTGTTTCAACAAGATGGTTTTCTAATTTAAAAAGTCACTTAAAATGCAACCAGATTTACCTACTCTAGATGTAAACATATCTATCTTTAAAAATTCCACCTAAAACCAGATAAGGTTAGTTTACTTTTGTTGGGAAAGAAAACTGGTTGTACCTCTCACAAAGCCTTTGAAAATGCAGTACATGACTCCACTTCTTCTAAGCAGTATGTCAGGTTGACCAAGATGCAATTTGAAAAAAAAACCACAACAAACATTAAACATAAGACTATGTTGTAAAAACTGCAAAATCCCTTGAATTTCCCATGTAGAATATGTAGTTCGAAATAGCATAATTACTAAGTATCTATTCAAGTGAGTCTACAGATCTATTAGAGCTATACAAAACAGTTCCATTGTAAGACTGACACTGAAAAAAATTGCGTACAAAGTTTTGAACAAGTTCTTGTTCATTTAATACTGGGATATAATATTCCAAATTTAAACCCATTCTGCAAGCATCTTTATGTCAGAAGCAATCCACCCCATTATGTTATAGTAGAGAACTGTGTAATCTTCTTGGAGAGAGATTAATGAACAAACCCTTTTTTGTTAGAGCATAGCACCCATTGATTAAGCTTAAAATTAGTTAAAACATTCAAATCACCTAACTTTTCTTTGCAAATCACATTTTAAACCTGTCTTAAGGTCTGTCAAAAGTCTTTTGAGCAGTCTAGTCTAACCCTGGCCTGCTTGGCAACTGTTGTCTCATCCAGCTTGTTTCTAAGACCTGTGGACATAGAATCCCAAAAAATTTTAATCAAGAGCATTTTAATGTTGTCATTGGAAAATGTGGTAGTATTTGTTAATGTTGAGTCTATATTTTCTTTGATGTAGTATGACAACATTGGTTTTTTATCTACTACAGACAGAGGATGAACAGAAATTTCATTATTTCTTATGGCTTACCAGAGAAAGCAGCTCAGAAGATTTCAATGTATTTTCTAATTCACACTATTTACTTTATCTACTGACTAAAACTTTAGCATATTTAAATGCAGAAATTGTACTGTGATCTCAAACAATATCATATAGCAGTTTGACTTCATTTAATTCTGGTCTAGGATAAAGTGGACATTGATCTATTGCATAGCAATAATTTCACAGAACAACATGAAACTGCATCAAGAAAACCTGATGCAATATACTTCAGAACTTACATTGCAAAGGCATTAGATTTTTCCTACACAGTAGGAAAAGTGTCAGGCAATGCTCTATTGAAGAACGCAGTTTATTACCTCCTGCATACAAATGCACATTTGCCAAGTGCCACTGTTTCAGTGCCACATTGACACATTCAGAAATGACTAATGCTTCCATATTTATAAAAACTATTGTACAGTACCAGAGTTGCCAAATACAGTAGCACAAAGAAAAGTTCATTTGCTTTGGACTCCACAACCGAATTCTTATCTCTAAATTTCCCATTCAACCAGACAAGCTGCTATCTTTTTCTATGTCATACATGGTCACTTTTTAAAGGGTTATGAGCTTTCTTATGGAAAAACAGTGAAGTGACACCAGATCTGCTATTCTGTTGCACAGCGCTCCATACCACTGCAGATCAGGTTTAAAAAGCTTTCCTTTTTATGGTTACAGCTATCCCCAGCTATCCCCATACAGTGCTCACAGTCTCAAATATTTAGAAATACTAAAAAGGTAGAGATGTACAAGAATGTTATCCTATCAAAATAACTGTCTTGACACACGATTAGCATACAGCTTAAGTTCTCTAGTCACCTTTCCTGACAGAAGAATGATTTACTGCTCTCCATAATGTCTCTCCCATTTACTAGATTAATATCTTATTTAACGTTACTCTCACCTATCCTTCTGTTCCCTTACCAATCTTCAATGGTATTAAAAAGAAATAGATTCACAATGAAAAAAGGAAACATGCATTCTGAAACACCCTGAAACATAAGGAAAAAACTGTAACAGTATTCAACAGGAAGAAGTACACAAGTGGTGCAATTTGCACCATATAGCTTGACATGACCTAAGAGACATGGAATTTTTGCAACATTTGAAAATTGCCAATAGTTACGGTCAGCAGGCAGCAGTCACAGACCCATAGAATTTTGAAAAACATTGGGCGGTGACAAAGATATGTCAATATATATATATGAATCTACTTTCATGTAAAGATACGTGCACACACATACAGTTAAGAGATAGGCAGACAGCTGCCTCATTTCACCAATACAGTCATCCTAAAGTATTTGGCAGATAGCTGTCCTGAAGACTCAGGGTCTCTACACTGTATTTAATGCAGAGTGAAAATACACCTCTGAAGACCTCCACAGTCAGACACAGATTACTTGTTTTAACTGCCTACTTCTCTTTACTGAATATGTAAGAAACTGAGAGAAAATATTAGCTATTTGTTCTGTTTGGATCCAGTCCACCCCTTTAGGCCAAGACATCCAGCCTCAACATATTCTGAAAAGAGGCACGTGACAGCAGTGACAAAGTCCACGACACCTGCTCCCTTCTGTACACACTCCAACAATTCTCTTCACACTTTCTGCCCAACTCCTGAGAGGTCTGTCCAGTTGCCAAAGTAGCAGAAGAGGTAATCATACCCTTAACCACCCAGCCCAGCCTCATCAAAACATAAAGGGAATATCTAAAGATCTGGTGATGAGATAGACACCCTGTCATACAATGATTCAAACTGTAAAGGACCTTAAGTAGGTCTCCAGTCCAAACTCCTGTTCAAAGCACCATCAAAACTGAATTCAGACTAGGTTTAATGTCCTACTATGTTCCTAGAACTCAAAAGTGAAAAAATATCAGCAGCATCCTATTATGGTTTCTGAATCTGAAATCATTTAGCTTGAATTTTAGTTAGAGATGGTTGGAATTTTTCAGTAAAGAGTGGTATGTCCAACAGCATGTTTTTCCATAAATAACTACTTCAAGGTTACACAAGGCTTTAAATCTAAATAATACCAGAATCCATGAGACATTCTCTCTCAATCATACTTCTTTACATAAAAGGAAAACAAAGATGAAAGTACTCCAGACTAAAGCATGTACTTCAAAAATATGTGAAGTGTATAAGGTATATAAAATAGATATACTTTAAAGTATAAGTATTCTAAAAATATTTGTTTAAAAGCAAATGATGAAAGACAGATAGTGGGAGAATCGATGTAGGCTACATATTTGGGAAGGATGGTTTGCATTCCTGTAATAAGAAATGCTTACATGTGTTTCAACAAAAAAAAAATAAATACTATAATTCTCAAGCAGTCCTGAAACCATCCCTCTAGAGGGAGGACATATAATCACTAGGCTACAGAGGGAGGCTTCTTTCTTTGCATCACTGCTTCTTGAATTTCCTTCTACACTGTAAATTAGCACTGCTAGGAGCATTAGAAGTGCATATGTCTCATATTAGCCTCTGACATGGTGTTCAGGGAATCCCCCTGGGCTGACAGGCCATACAGTTTTAATGTGTACTAGCTGAGAAGGGCCTGGAACCAAACGCCTGAATAACCACTCAGATTATACCAGAGGGATTCACAACTATTTCTCCTCAAAGGCATATGTGTATCCCTGTCTTTCAGGGAGAATTCATCAATGAGGGAGATGCACCCTGCATGCATTCTGAAAATACCCCACTGACTAAGCCCCACAGGACATAAAAGCAACAGAAATACAGTTTTGGGGTCCTTATGTCACTTAATTTCATTATAATGTCATTTAAGTCCTATTCTTGTGAAGACTGAGAAATCTTGGAATTGCACAAGTATATTACCTAGGTAGCTAAGGGGTTTTTTCGTGCACTGGCTTTTCTCTTGGGCTGGGGGAAAGGAGGAGATCTTAAAACACCGAGGTAAAGAGTACAGCCCTCACTTACGCAAAGTACAGTTAGTTACTGAGCTCTGCAGAGTCTACAGTCCTGGGACAGCAGAGCAATACAACATATTATACTCTTATGGTACAAAAAAAGCTAATACACACAAGTTGAAAAGAAGAAAGAAGGCAGAAGAGAGCAAGGGAGAGATTTCTTTGCACATTTTACCAACAATCTCCTGATCATAACACCCATTGACAGCTGCGTTAAGCAGGCTAAATGGCAAAACTCCCAGAAGGTAGAGAGCAACTCCAAGTTGTTTTTAGGATTAGACAGCCTAAATTTCAAAAAAGGGAAGTCTTTAGAACTCCAAAGTCAACTTTTCTGCCCATTTTATGACCCCATTCTGCTAATCATTTCAACTTCACAGGTTAAAAATGACAGAGTCACCAGAAGGACAACTTCCCAAGCCTGTATGAAGTTACCATGTTATCCTGTCCAATCAAGTGGTCATAAAGGTCATAGGTACATATTAATAGACAAAAAACAAGACTGTAGGACTTGGTCCTCAACACATGTGAACTGTATATCTCTTTCTACCACTTATGATCTCGTATTGCCACTGTTTTTCAGATCTCCCCAGCTCCTAACCAATTTCTGCATTAACTTATGCCTTATTAAATCAGAAAAAGTGAATAGTATATGCAGGGTAATTGCGAATAGGCAAGCCCATGACTAGTCCAAATAACTTTTATTTATGTGATATCTTCCTATTTGTGCATTAGAACAACTACATTGCTCAACCTACAATTTTTTTCAATTAGTTCTAGAAACTCAAAAGCTTACAAAACTAGATCCCAAAAATGAACCTCAAAACCAAGCTACCCAAGTACGTCTATTAGAAAAAGACAAAGAATATGGTGGGTGGGAATACTGTAATAACAAAAATCTCTCTTTTGTAGCACTCCAGGCATTAATTTTGCATTTTAGTATCACCTAAATTAAAGAAGTTCAAGAGGAATGTCAAGTTACTAGTTTACAATTAAAATCAAACAATCTTACTAAAATAGTGTCTTACTTTTTCACAAATTGTATTTTTAAAATATATTTGTGAAAATTTCAAAAGCAATGCAGTTTCTAATCACTTGCCTTATTTAACACTCCTTATTTGAAAGCATAAAAGCATAGTGAGAAGCTAAAAATTAACAGATGACTTTTATTACATGCATAAAATAATCAAAGATGAAAATCAAGAAAAGTATGGAGAAGTTTGGAAACAAAAAGCAGAAAGCCTTACCCTGAAAAGCAGCTGCATTACGAGATATTAAAAATTTTAATGCAGCACTTGATGTTTGAACCACTTGCTGTATATCTTGCTTTGCTGCAGTCTGATACCTTTCTTCCATCTTTTTAGTACAGCATGTTGGATTTCTAGAAGTACAAACCTGGAGATCAACACCTAAGGATAAGGTAATAAGGTAATTACATTGATTAATATAAACTAGAAGTATGCAAAACACAAACACATAGAAAACAGCTACTCTTTTCCTTTTTTTTTTCACATAAGTATTGACACATAAAAGAAATACCCAAAACTTTGAAGACATTTGGTCTCCTTAAACAGAAGGGGATACTAACTAAAATTCCATGGGAAGAGTACACTTAATACAGTTAATAATGTCATATAATATAATATCTCCAACACTGCAATCTTGTTCCAGCTGTGAATATTGATACCTAGTGTTGGTAAAATATATTGAATATGCATTGTACATCACCATACAGGAGGTAGATGTCCCATCCCTGGAAACATCCAAGATCTGCTTAGATGGGGCTCTGAGCAACCTGATCTAGTTGAAGATGTCCCTGCTGACTGCAGGGGGTCAGACTAGATGACCTTTAGAAGTCCCTTCCAACCCAAACTATTTTGTGCTTCTGTGATCCTCCAGAATACTGAACTGACATATTTTCTTTCTCTTATATCACTACAGTCTTATGGTTTTATGACAAGTGATTTATTCAAGACATTATACAATTTTGTACAGTAGTCTCCCTGATACAACTGCTTAATCTTCAAACTTCAACACAGCTTTCATACAAGCCAAAATACCAGCAGGAGACTTACAGCTATTCCAAATGAAAAATCTAGCTGTGCTGGATTTGGGAAGGCTTTTGCTTTGCTTTATGAAGTATGTAAAAATTAGTAAAAAAACCACACCTCACTTCCATCTATAGAAGACAACTTACCTTAGCCTCTAAATCTTAGCAGATAATAATTACATATAAATGTCCTCCCTCTGCTTGAAACTGAAAATGTATGAGAGAAAACTTGGCAAAGTGTTATTATCACATTGCCCGAAACACAAATAACATTGTGTTGCACACAGCATCATTTTAGACAATGGCACTGTTATATAACAAACCATAATTTCATAATCAGAAGTGTGTAGCTGAGTTGTCAAGAAAAGCGAAAATTAGAACTTGTGAGTACTATTCCTTATTCTCCTACTGACTTGACATGTGTCTCTTTCACAAGTAAACAGTAGCTTCATTTCCCAGAAGCAATGACCTCCTTTTTCCCTATGAGGTTCAGTAAAGATCTTCCACAAAACCTTTGAGCCATTTTTCCAATATGTATGACCTTTCACCCACCAGATTTTAGTTATTAATAAATAATATAGACGGTAACCGATCACACGCAGTTCTACGTGTACACAGGCATAGACGTGCATAATATTTGTTTAAATGAAATTAAGATTAGCTGTATTATCCAAGCTTTTCTTAGTATTTTAAACAAATGTTAGGCACTGCTTAGCTCTCAAATCTTTGCCTTTTGTACACCAGGAGGTAATATGAAATTTTATCTAGCCTTAATATGGGCTTTAGAATAGCTTTAAGAAGACATTTACATTTTCAGTAAAACTCTGAAATAATAATGAATATTTGTTTATGGTTTCAGCTGACTCTTCAATATTATTTTAGTCCCTTGATTTTATGGCAAATACTTTTTTAAGCAGTGTCTTTTTAACATGGGTCTCATTCCCAACCCTAAGGGAATTTTGTTTTATACTTTTAAGACTGCTAATCGCGCACATATAAAGTACATTTTATTGACCTACTTTTGTTCCAGCTCATTAAAGACAGCTGCTTTCAATGGCCAGGAAAAGCAACATGCAAAGAACCCAACTGACTAAAAATTGAGTGATTGCTCAAAATCCACAGTAGTTTTGTAGCTGTTTCTTTATAGAACCACAGAACAAGCAGCAGCTTACGGATAATATTTCAGAAGAGGGTATGAAACAGGTTGTTCCATTTCAGCACAAGTAATATTAAAAAAACCCACACTTATTTTCTGTGTTTTCACATCTAAAAACCTTCCCATCTTCCACAAGAATTGTTTTATCAATAACCAATTTTGAAATGCGGAGAGAAAACATTTTCTGCTCCGATAAGGCATATTGGCTCTTTTCAGTATCAAATTCTGATGGTTCCACACTGTGATCTACTTTGAGACAAGATCACAAGACAGCTAGATGCGAAATAGCTTGTAATAAAAAACTGTAATAAAAATATATTGACATAAACAGTTACAGTATAGGAAAGGTTTAAAACTGAAAACAATCTAGATGGGTGTAGAAAGACAGCTCAGGAAGAAAAATGTAATTTTTCTGAGATGCAAGTTTACATATCTGGAACTGATTTCAAACTTTTATTCATGGTCTCAGCTGTACAAATCTGTATTTTCAGTACCTTGAGATAAACAAATGCTGACAGGATGAGGACTTTAATTGCCAGGAAGAGAAAATGCCATATGTGTGGTAAATTTTTCCCTATCTACTTAGACTTCCAAGAGATCAAATCCAGAGTCTGAAAAATCCCAAAACAGACCTAGGATTGTCACGACAAAGAATCTCTCAAAAGCCAGCACTAAAATGCCATATGGCCTGGAAGCAATTGTCAAATCAGTGGTTTATTTCAAAATGGATTTTCAACCTGTATCAGACATAAGTTCTTCTCATGCTCATCCTTTGTTACAAGGATGCTCATCATTTTTGTTACAAGCACCACTCCAGACATAGCATTAACTGCCATCACTGTGGTTGTTGCACAGTACTTCAGCATTGCTCAGTAAAAGAGATGGTGATCAGCCTTAAGCACTTGGCCCTGACTTGACACTATTAAACTATCACCTCACTTCTTTCTGTGGCTCTTTTCAGAAGGCACCAGAATTTGTCTCACCTGCACTTCTAAAGATTGTGAATACTGCTTTCAGAGGACTCTCTAGGCAATACTGTACTACAGGTTTGGCATCTTCCTTATACCCTCTAAGATCATCTCCCTACCAGCAGGCACCCTAGCAAGGTCAAGGCACCCCTCCATACACCCACACTCCAACTCATCAAACAAAACATGTAATCATTTACCCTGCATTCACTGCCTACCAAAAGACCTCCTACTTTTAAAACTGCTTGAATTGTGGAGGAAGGGAACCCACAGTGTCTTGGCATTACAAAAGCATCATTTTGGTTCTCAAGAGGATTCAAGGGCAAACCCCTCAAGTGAGGACAGTCCATCCCTTTTGCAGGACATCAGTCTTGAGCAATGTAGACATGAGCCAGTCTATTCCACTCGGTATGAGAACCAGGAGTTGGTCCTCTGTCCTCTATTGAGCAGTACGGCCAACACCTTTCAGGTCATCCCAGTCAGATCAAGTCCTAAGGCTACTGAGCACTGCTGACTTCCTAGAGAAGCTGAAAGATGGAAGATAGAGATAGGGAAGCTGCTACATGGTTGAGCCCATTTTTTTGTTGGTTTTAATCTCAAAATATTGTAAAATTTTTTTCACGATGATAATTTTGTGGATCCAGAGGTGAAATGTCCACACATACACACAATTATGTTGTTGGTAACAGTCCTTACAAAAACAGACATCAGTTACCGATATGACAGAGCAACTCACTTTCTGTCTCTGACTAAATCCTTTTCCAGAGCTCTGAATGTCAGTTAAACAAATAGAGTAATTAGAAGTGCCCCTGCCTGCACACACCAAACAAATCTTAATTTGACTTCAGATAGAACAAAAATCCAAATTACCTAAATGTAAATCATACTAGAAACCCAAATTAAAATTCAAATATGATCTTGGAATTGCATCAAAAAAACTTGTTCTGGATTTCAGACTGACTTCCATTGTTACTTTAAGTAAAATTAGCAAGAATATTTTCACTTGAATTAACAAGTGTATCACAGACCAACTTTTTCTGAGATTATCTCATCCTTCCAGCATAGTTTTTCTCATTTATTCAACTACGTATTCATAATGATTCTCTACCAAAAAGCCCTTGCAATAAAATTTATACTAATCAGTCTTCACCCTCTTTTATGCTTCCTGTTCTCATAATTGCATACATTATTTCCCAGAGTTTGATGAAAAGAAGCCTAGCCTGACTCCTGAAAAAAAAAAAAAGACAAAATCAAAAAAACCCAAACCAAACCCAAAAAAGCAAACAAACAGAAATCAAACAAACAAGCAAACCACTGAGAAAACAAATATCTCCAGCCCATTTTTTCCCCGCTTCACTGGCAATTGTTTGATTTTTACAGTGCCAGCAAATGTAACATTTTTCAATAAGCCACAGAATTCAGCTTTTTGGTGCAAACAGAAGCCTGAAAGTTTGTTCATTGACATACCTACTGAAAGTCCTTTGTCAAAAGGTAAGAGTGAATGGTTTACTGTCCATCCTATTCTGCTGTTCATAGGATTATATCACAGAATGGTTTGGGTTGGAAGGAACCTTTTAGATCGTATAGTTCCAACCTTCCTGCCATGGACAGGGACACCTTCCACCATACCAGGTTGCTAAAAGCCCCATCCAACCTAGCCTCGAACACTTTCAGGGATGGGCCATCCACAACTTCTCTGTTCTACATATTTTGAGAGAAGAAAACCAGAAAAGAAATATCATTTGCAACCAAGATAACATGGAGAGCTCAGAGCCCCCATTTAACCTGTCAGAAAAATGAGCTGCTGAAATCAGCTAAAAGCTCCAGCTTTACTAGCATGGAATTCTTCAAGAAAGTTGAGTAGGTTACAATACCAGAAACTGACCACAGGAAATTAAAATACATTAAAAAAAAAGTATTTTGCAGATAACCTTTTTTTCCAAATAATCCAAGTCATACTGATTCACAAAAACAAAATAAAAACCCCAAATCTAACCTTTGAGGCCTTTTTATATTTATTTCATGCTTTGCATAGTGTTTGATTCTTGATTCTCCATACAACAAAAAGCACCTTTTAGGATTTTTAATTATTGAGGTTTCTCTGTACAGTCCCATCAAGACAGCACTTGTAGCACAGAACCAGACAGGAAAAAAAACAAAGTTTACTTTTTTTTACTTTTGCAACTAACATTTAAAATAAGTATAAAAGAGATAAATGTTTCAATATAGCATGTG